TTAGATTTTCACTAGCAGACCAAATATTTCCAATGTTTTTTTTTTTTTTGCCAAGACGACTAAGTTTGGATGTCCATTAGACATCTTTAATAAAATTTCTTACTGTGCACTTTCTCTGACTTGAAAACCATCTTCGGCTTATTTCCTCTACTTAGTTTGTAAAGGTCAAATATCTGTGAGTAAAAACAAAACACTGAAGGAGCTTCTTAATAGAAAATTCTAACCGAAAGATGTTTAATGTAATTTTAAATAAATAAATTGAAAAGAAATGTAGGCTGGGTTATTCATTGTTGGACACAGATCAACATGCAAGCATGATTGCAACTGATTCAATTCTGGTATGGTTCCAGCAGATTATTGCAAACAATATTTTGATTAAAAATGACATAGTAAAAAAGTGCACAAATTAATTGGTAACAGATTAAATCAACAGCATGCACTATAAGAAAAAAAAAAAGTGCTCTGCACAACATCAAGAGCCGAACCGTAGCTAAGGGGGTTCGGAAGACCCAATACTCACTGACAAAGGTCTAGAATTTCTTCCATGATGAGTTCATTTGTCATATTTTGACTGCTATGCCATAATAAATAGTGAAAATAACTATTCGCTTCAGAACGACGTGATCAGTTTTGGCCAAGGCCAATTTTTCACAAGTTATATTTTGAAATGGAGAAAACATTTTACAAGTGATTTATTTTAGATTTTGGACCTTATTCCTAAAAACAAAAACTGACCAATAAAATATTTGAAGAACCAAATACCGCCCATATAAAAAATAATTTGAAAACTATTTCGGCTATAGTTGTCATCCTTGAATTTTCAAATGCACTTTTTCTTACAAAAAAGGCTATAGAAATCGTGAAGCTCATTATTATTATTATGTTATTTATTTATTTATTTTATTCCAATGGTTTAATTCTGACTGAGGAAAGTCTAATGTGCTGGGCAGGTTGTTATTTGCCTAATAAATATACAGATTTCTATTTTTTCTTATGATATATGATGCAATAAATTTGTATTTTGAAAATAAGTTTTTCATTTCTTTATTCTAAATATTTAGAAAATATTTTTAGTACTTCAAAAAGTCTGCTTATGCTGACCTTTTGACAAGCAAATCCAGCTATAAATAGTGTTTAAAATGTCACTAAAATGCAGTATTTAAGCCTCATAATTAAATAGCGAATGAGGCAAAAAACTGCAAAAAAAAAAAAAAAAAGTCTAGTTTTTGAGAAAAAAAAAAACACCTTTCACCAGACCGGCTATGGTCCTCAAGAGATCTAAAATATTAAACTTAATATTAGGTAGACTTAAAGGTTTTTAAATCTACCTAATATACTTTAATAGAAAGCCTAGAAAACATTAAAAGTCTATGAAATTAAAAGCATTTTGTTTTTAGGGGAAAAAACAAGATATGCAACAACAGCTCTCAGAAATCTCACTTTATACTGCAGATATATCAGGTGAGACTTCCAGATTAAATAACTGTAAATAAATCAATAAAATAAAAACCTCTGCTTCTCTGATGACATCCGATTTAGGAAAAAAACTATTCTTCAAAAGGTTTGCTTGTAACCAAAATACTGGGCAGCACACAATCCACAATAGAGCAGGTGGACTTTTGGACGTCTGATCATCAATGGTTTCCTCTAGAAAAGCTAGTGGTATGTTCTCAAGGGAGGCTGAAAAGAGGGGAAACAGCCAGATACACACCTGGGAATGGAGCCGATGGGCTTGATTCACTCTGGCACACAAACAGAACAACTGGTGGGGCTCTTCTGCAGATGGGCACGCAGGTGGGCATAAGGCAGGGCAGGAGGGAGCGCAGGGGGCCTCTGCCAGGTTTGTGTCGTCCTTGTAGCTCAGAGTAGGTGCACTTCTTTTTTTCCAGTTGATCACATCTGGGCTGAGGTCCACAATGCTTCACTATCAAAACGGGAAATCAAGGTGAAGCTACACTGCCCCCTAAAGGAGCTTGCGGTAACTGCGTGGAAAAGCCAAACACTTTATTAAAACACATATATAGATTTCTCCACAAAAACTTGAAGCTACCTTGAACTAACAGTGGAATATATACGGTTCCATAGCAAACAAATCCATTTATAGCAGATGAAAAACATATGAAGGCACAGTTAGAGTAAATGTTGAACAGATTTTGTCTAACAGGTCATTCCATCACCAAGCGGTGGAGCTTCAATTGGGTCTAAATGAGAACAGCCGCGTTGTTTGTTGATTTTGGGCGCAAGTGCGCTTACTCACTATGTGCCATCATGAATCACTGAGCTTCTGTTGGTATAAACAACAACAGCCGCGCGACAACATATTATTTATCAGTGATGAGTCGACGTTATCAAGAGCGAGTGTATCACAGGCTCCGCCCACTTAATTAAAAATAGACCCTCCCACTGCGCGTTAAGCCTCAGTCACTTCAAACAATATTAGAATGCGGTCTTTAATCCCAATCACTTTTCGAAAAAACTATATCATTGTGGACTGGCAAAGCCACAAACAGCATTGATTTCTGAGGAATGGAATACAGACAGCTAATCGATGCGAGTGTGTGTCTTCTGCGCAGGCCGTGAGTGCAAATCAATGGCCGGGAGGCGTCATTGACAGGCAAAGTAAACCTGCTCTAAAACACAGTTAGTGACCTGGTTAGCACCAACATTGTACAGGGGGTAAATGTTGTCCAACTCACTTTAGATAGTTCAGGTGAAAGCATAAATACTGCACAACAAAAAATGGGGTGTTTTAAGCATAAGACCAGGACTATTTGAATTTGGTCTCTGGAACTATAACCGACTCAAATATTGCCAATTATGAACTATAAAAATCATGTTATACATGTATGACTTCTCTGTTATACAAAGACTGTATCTCTGGTTTGGAAAGATAAGACTGTGAGCCAAATTTCATTTTTGCTGTAGTACATTTGAGTCAATATTAAATGCATTTTCAATACTGTATTACTTCTTCAATACAATGCATTTCAAAAGGGAAAATCTAATATTCATTGCAAGACAATGCAGAGTGAGACTTAATTTGTGTCCTGAGGCATCATACACCTATTTTTTTTAGGGGCAGCACTGGTTCACCTGGTGCCCTAGGCAAGATAAGACGTGACCAGAAGAAAATATACTTAAATAACCTGGCAGTTCTCTAAATTAATCTAGCGGCTTAATGGAATTTTTGTTTAGCTGCAAAGTATCTGCAGAAGGTGTAATTCACATGTGTATTGTCATTTTAAATTGTACAGTTGCAAGTTTGTTTTGGAAGCACTTAAAACCTGAAGTCTTTTCTAAAGGTACACAACACTAAAACTGCAGTCTTTTATGCATTGGATTTATTCAACACTATTTTGACACCCTTAAAATGCCAACTTGAAAACTATATAGTTTCTGTGTAGACTACAAAATAAAGTAAGCAGAAGTAAGCTATTTTCCGTGGCTGTTTCAAAGGGCAAAAAAATGTCAGTAAATGGTCAAACTATTTATGAACATTTGTGTTCATGAAACTAAATAAAAAAAGATAATATAATAAGAAAATACCAATTAGCAACATCAAGTGGCATAACAAGCTGTTTTTTTTTTTTTTTACAGTTGAAAATCAGTGAATGTGAATAAGACCAGAAGTTATAAACCAATCAGGTTCCAAAGCCTGCACCCGCTCTTACGTGACAGAATAAGGTCAATAGGTATGTACTTTAAAACCATAACAACAATGGCTGACTAGTATGTGCTCAGTCAGTGTTTACAAAATAACAATTACCAACTGCTGCACTGGCATGCATAATACAGCATTTTGACAATATTATCATCACCTTATCCATAACAGAGGCTCTGTATAAATGAAAAGACATATAAGGGCCTGGTGAAAAGGACATTGCTTCAGAGAATGAGCAAGTTATTATCACTCCAATACGTTTTCTTTACACCAATAATTAAAGCACAGTAGGTGCATAAAATTCTAAACATTTTTACATACTTATTGTACGTAATCAATGTATTATCAATCTAGAAAACATAAAAAGACCATTCTAAATTCCTTAATGTGGTCCAGCGAATGGCCCAAACATATTACTGTCAGGCCACCCTTGTTCTTTGCCCTTTCCTGCTCATCAAATCACTGCTCCACCTCTGTCCCAAACTCAACTAAATGATTTATTGATCCAGGGCAACCTCCATATAACCTGTAAATTACCTCAACACCGTGTCATTATCTACCAATGATGAGCAGGGCCCAAAAAACCAGTAAGATGCCTCTCAGAGGAGACTTCATTCAATGCTGGACCAAAGTCTGATTCAAAGTTTGATCAGGCTTAACCTGCTTTGCAATAATTACTATTCCTGTGAGGGGCTGAAGGAGGTTGGAGGTTCAATGAATCCATGGACCCATGACCGCCTAGCTTGAAAGCCTCGTTTGAACTTAGCGAAGAGATGCAACCCAATCCGTCAGTAAAGTAAGTGGGGCACTCTTGTACTCGGGAGTGATTCGTAACCTCTGGACAGGATTACCGAGATAAACTATCCTACATGCATGCATATCTACATACTTCATGCAATTACGAGACTGATATAACCACCAACATGTGAAATTGACTGTATTGGATCAATGACAAGCCAAATTAAATTCTTTAAAAAAAAAAAGTAACTTTTTCTATTTAATGCTCACAAATTAGTGACTAGTGTAACAGGAAATATATAATGAACTACTACTTAAAAAAAAATAAATAAAAAAAAAAGAGGGCTGAAGCTGGCAGAACCAACTGCATAATGCCAAATAAACTGAACTAATAACCACTGGAAAGACAAGCCAAAATTGCATTGCACATCAATGCCAAAAAAAAAAAAATGTCAGAAATGCCAGCAACACCATCAAACAAGAAAATAGTGAACTGAATATTGAGTGGGAGGCATCATTCGATCACTGAAGATGCAGTCTGTGGCTAATGTGGGGCAGTACAATTAATGCAGAGGAGAAAGTACAATTAATAACTCATAGCTCTTGAGAGAGGTCAAAAGTTTAATGGTAACCATTTTACTTCAATATCAGGCTAATTAGACTCAGTGAACAAAAAATACTGAAATAACAAAGTACAGGACTTTTTTTTTTATACCATGCCAACACACTTCAAAAGCTCAGAGTGGAGGACTCGAAAAGCAGGTGAACACTGCCCTCCTGTGACATGAGAGAGAACAGTAATATTTTTTGGAGTGATCCAAAAAACAAAGAGATTAGACAGTACTACAGTTGCAATTTTCTTTATCCTAACAACTTAAAAACTCAAAAGAAAATAAATACAAACTGTAAAGTCATGTTTCACAGATGCAGAACTCAACCACCTGGTTTAAACAAATTAAAATGCATTTTATGCACAAAATGAATACTTTCTTATTGCCAAAAAAGTATATTAGAGTACAACATATTTTGCATATTTGCAGACACAGAAGTCATACACAAATGATAGCAATGAAACAGACACGCACAAAATTATGAGTTGTACAAATGTTGCACTTTGTTTTTGCAATATGTTCATGCAATCTAAGTCTTTAAGAACCAAAAAAACTTGTAATTCCAGTCTGTGGAAGCTGACAGTGGCTTTGACCTGTTTCAGAAACATCAGCAGTCTATAGTCCGACTGGGTTAACCATGTCTGTACTTTCAGGAGCTTATCAACAAGATCTAATCAGGGTAGAATCCAAAAGCATATAGACCCAATTTAAAAAAAAAAAAAAAACATTTCTTCAAGTACTTAAAACTCGCAAACTAACTAAAAAGACGCAACTATTTGAGGTCCACAAGTAAAGCCAGCTGCCACAGGTCTAAGACATAGCTTGACAGAATCATTGTTTCACCAGTGTGGATGAAGGCGCTTTCACAGTTGTGTGGGAAGAGCTAAAAATAAGCTTGAAGGTCGTAGATTAGAGAAAGCTTGCAGTGTGAGTCGATTGCCGGCATGCTGGAAGAGCGTTAAATAAACACAACAAACAGAAAGGTGACCCTTGCGCAGCAAAAACACAATCTGATAAAGATTAACTGACTAAGCATTTAGCATTGTGCCGTTATGCAAAGCACAAAATGTAGACAGCACAGCATAATAAAAGTCAGAAAATGAGCAGCACACTTATTCGTTTGACATTATGAAATACTAACTTCTGTGCATTACGTGGCAGGAGACGTTTTATATACATTTGGCAATAATGGAGTAATGCTTGAACAAGGCCTGTTGGTGATCTATTTGGCACTATATGATAAAATAGTAACCACAAATATAGATTATTCATACAAACTATTGATGGCATAATTTCAAAACTAGATGCTTAGAAGAAATGATAAAGGCAGATTAGGCTTAAATGTGCTCCATGCATTGCCTAACTTTACTGTAGTATATATTGGAGATGCAGCATTATGTCTTACAGCCATACATCAATGTCATATATACACTTGCAAATTTATACATTTCAGAGAAGTTAATTAGCTCTGTGGAGAACATCGGAAAGTAATCCATAAAGCATGCTTTGTAAATTGAAAGGCTTATGTACAGTACTGGAAAAATTTCCCTTTTTAAATATGCAGATGAGAGAACATGAACTATACATTGTGCAAAATTACCTGTCAGAGTCTGTGAGTACATCCTTAACGTCCTAAATGTTGGTTTATTTGGCCATATGCACATCTAAATGCGAGCTGGTATTGTGAAGACATTCACTGTTTAAATGCAAGGCACGGATTAAAACATTAGCGTCAGATATGTAATGCATATTTAATTGTTCTCATGGCACAAAACAATCACAGCCAAGTTAATAAACGCGCATCCATAAGCTTAATTCTTAAATAGTCCTTTCCTATATGGAGAACCTAAAACCTGGGTAAATAATTTTAGCTTACTCCCTGAACCAAAGTCATCTTCACCAATGTTTAAATGGAAGACATGCTCCAAATGTATACCATAAGTCTCACTGAACCCATTCAAAGTAAGCAATTTCATCAAGATCAACTGGGTAATCAGTTATCAGTTGTGGCTCTTTGTTGTCAAATCGTTCTCCTTTGTAACTTTTCCAACGTCCAGCTGGTAAGTAGATATCCCTTTCTTGCTTGCCTGGTTCCAGTACTGGTGCCACCATCAAGTCATCTCCTATCAGAAATTGAGAGTCAACTCTAAAAGCGGTTTCATCACTGGTGGCAATCCACCATAATGGGCGAATTATGGGGTCCCCAGTGTCCAGAACTTCTCCAGCCAATTCTATGACCCTGGGAGCCACCAGCGTCTCATGCAGTTCAGTGAAGCGTTGAGCAATAGCCACAACCTCATCATCATACTCCCATGGAGGAATGGAGAACTGCATGGAAGGCATGAAAGCAGCCAGCTCCAGCCATCGAATGTAGAGCTCACGGTCTGGTAGCCTGCCATTCCCATCAGTACGGTTGGGATAGGCATTGCCTCCAATCATGTCTGGCAAGATAAACTGATAGCCCAGGATGCTTATGGTTAGGACGGTTGGGATCAGGGACTTCAGGCCAAGTTCGTGGCCCCACACAGAGTCCCGGTCATTTAGACGGAAAAAGCAAGAAATGTTTTGAGAACCGTAGCCAGACCGAAGCTCAGCGCGCTCGTTAAAGGGGATGGCCATTTCAGTGTAGCGACGGGTGAAGGTGCTCGGGTCAGGGAGGTGGACTTTGGTTCTGAACTGCCAAGGTAAGTAATTAGTCTCACCTGCATCAAATTTGAAAGAGGAAACACCATATCTATTGCGCAATGTGCGAAGCTGCAATAAGAACCAAGTGCGTGCCTCTGGGTTGGTAAAATCAACGATACCACCAATCCCATTCCACCATTTAACCAAGGCAGGAAGTTGACCTGTCGGCTCCATCACAAACAGGCCTTTTTGTACACAATGCCCAAAATTAGCTGAATCATAATTCACAAAGGGATGTGTCCACAGAGATACCAGGATTCCATCTGCCTTGAGCTTTTGAAACATGGCAGAGGCATTTGGAAACTTGCGTGTGTCAAGATCAAAGTCTCCGTACTGACTTGTGTAGCGATCATCAAGTTCTAAGTGGCTACAGTTAAAACCGTGTTTGCGTATATTCTCTGCATAAGTTAGAAGCTGTTCCTGGTTGATGTTAGTCTTGTGTAAAGCCCAGGTGGACCATATTGGGTGCCGAAACATTTCTTTTGCAGGCACTTTGTTGGGTTTGGTGAAGTACCTGCGAACCATGACCTTGTGAATGGAGGTCACATCTGAGCCCACACAGACTCGGTAACTAAGTTCAGCATAGGGAGGCCTTCCAGATGCAGGTTTGTATGGACTGTCCTGATATCGTGCCTGGAAGTACATGGTTTTCTCTGTGTCATTCCACCCCAGGTGGAAGGGCACAGAATCATTGATCTTAATGGCAGTTGCGTTGGATGAGATCCAGTAGCGCTCCAGGATGCCACCGAAGTCATGGCGATTGGAGTACACGTCGCTGGTGACAAAAGGTTTAGGTGCCTGCTGGCCTGAGATGGCTATAGGCCAGTGCTGAACAGCAGTCTCTGCACCTCCATACCAGTGTGATTCATTGTAGGACATAGCATGTTCAACAGGCCGATCCGATTCCAACTCTTCCCAACGCACACGATAACACATCACTGTTTCCTTTGGCTTCACTGTCATAATGAAGAAGTTCACCTTGCCAGCATATGAACGCGAGCAACGAAGGATCACTCCTTCTTTTGAGCAGGAGTCGAGGTCGAGTGTGCCAGACCTTCAATCAGAAAACATAAATCAGTTTCTTTTAGGCAACTATTTGTGACCAAGTACAAGAACAATGAATAGAATTATCAATGAACAATAAATATTAGCAACAGGTTCAATTATCTCTCATTAAAAAAAAATACATTTCAATCAATTGATTGATTAAAGTATTCAAAGCTGAGCTATCAGTACTACCACAGCCCAAGTATTTTATGCGATCAAAAAAAAAACATAAGCACCATCCATACTGACCTGAAGCCCATTTTCAAGACAATCCCCCCAGCCTGGTTGCGGATGAGAAAGCCATCCTTATTCAGATCAAGCAATTCTGTCTTCAGCAGATCAGCTTTACGTAGGGAGGCAATATAGTAACACCATGCAGTCACTGCTGCAATCACCAGAACCACACCAATAACTCCAGCCCCCACCAGAGGGCGACTGTCCTTGTCCATCTTCTTGATGGGCATGCCATCAGTGATCGTTCCTCCTGCACCTCCAGGCACTACCTGGTACATTCTGAACCTTAGGGTTTTTTTACTTCACAATTAAACAGTTGTACGGCTTAAGTGTTATTTGATAAAAATCAAAGCTAAATTTTCATAGGCACAATGTTTCATTTGGCAGACTTGTGTGAGCAAATAAAATGAAAATATTTTGCTAAATAAGTGCAAATCTTGCATCCATTTTTCCTTCTGCCAGCGTCATATTTCCTCTTGTTCATTATCCTTTATGGCCCTGAGGGGAAAGGAGTGGCAAAGAGTGTCAATGTAAAAGACTGAAACAAAGTTCAAACTTTAAAAAAAATGTACTTGTCATGCAGATGCAGGAACCACAGTGCTAATTCTTGCATTAAGTATTCCAAAACCACATCACTTTAGCTTTGATATCGCCCTGAATTAGTCTGCTGGGAGATGAAGGCATAAACAAAAGCAGTTTATTCATGCTGCCAAGGTTTCTCACTGTGGCAGTGTGTGAATTGACTGCACCAGAGGACAACACAAGGACCTCTGGGTTTGCAGTATGCAACGCCACCTGCAAAACTTTGAGAACGGCGAAGTGCCACCAAGAACACTTGGTTCAAATGAAAAGCACGGTTGACGGACAATGCTTTCTACTCAAGCAAATGGCCAAGCAGAACTGAACTGCTGCTAAAGAGGAACTGCCGTCTTTGAGGGAAATGTACAGCACACTAATAAGGCAGCAAGTGACATTAGACTTTTTAGCGGCCTCTGTTTTGGAAATGTATCATTTGAATCGTTTAAAAAAAGAAAAAGTCAGTAAATCAATTAAGACTTTACAGTCAAATCAGTAATATGAATCAAAACACTACAATAATGGAGAAATTAAAAAGCCTGTATTAATGCTTCACTGAATAAGTATATTAACATATATACTAGGGTTGTGCGATTTAATCCAAATCGAATCGCAATTTGAAACGTTAGTTAAACGCAAAAATTTTTTTTTAATTTTAAAATTTCGCAAGAGGCTGTGATATGAAATGTATATGTATTATTATTTACGGCGTAACTTCGACTGTGTGTAATAGTCTTACTAGCCAATTGAGTGAGCACACTTTCGTTCTGCCCAATCAGAATTGCACAACGGAACTATGCGGAACGGCCACAATAAAAAGGAAAAAAAAAAAAAAAACAGCAAAGCGCAGACATGTAGTTGGGATAATGGCATCTGCTGCTTACAGACAAATTAATGAAATAAAAAAAACAGGACATCGATAATATAGGAATATTTTGGTTTCAAAGTCGCAGACACCAAACAAAACCAAGTAATTTTTAAGAGCTGGCACAGAATTGTTGCCATGACTTACAGATTACTGAGCTGAAGCTTTACTAAAAAAAAATTTTTTTTTTTAAATCGCAAATAGCAATATCAGTCAAAAACATAATAAATAATTTTTTTTTTTAAAAAGGAATTAGATATTTTCCCCAAATCACACAGCCCTAGTATACACAGTTGAAGTCAGAATTACTAGGCCCTCTGATATTATTCAAGACACTAGTATTCAGCTTAAAGTCACATTTAAAGGCTTAACTAGGTTAATTAGGTTAACTAGACAAGTTAGGGTAATTAGGCAAGTTATTGTATAACGATGGTTTGTTCTGCAGACAATCTAAAAAATATATAGCTTAAAGGGGCTAATAATTTTGACCTTAAATTGTTTATTTAAAAAATTAAAACAGCTTTTATTTTAGACCAAATAAAACAAGTCAGCCTTTCTCGAGAAGAAAAAAATATTAAATCGCAAATACTGTGAAAATTTCCTTGCTGTGTTAAGCATCAGTTAGGAAATATTTAAAAAAGAAAAAAAAAAAATCAAAGGGGGGGCTAATAATTCTGACTTCAATTGTATGTATTGTAATGATTATTTATTAGACAAACATGCACGATTAAGCTTTTGGTGATTGTACAGTTCCTTGTTATAAGATTAGTACATGGATTTAGAAAATAGAGAAACAAGTTTTAAATTTGTGTTGGATTCAATGTAATGTATTTTTTTAGTTAATGTCGTGTCAGTAACCAGGGCTATTTTCATGGCAAGAACATTTCAATAATAAATATATAATTAAAAATCAACCAACAAAGGAATGCATAAATTAAATAAGATTTAGCGCTAATAAATGATAAAAAATGTATTTATGTTGAATTTAAAAGTTAATTAGTAACTGAAATAAAGCCTGAGAGTGTGAATCAACCAGTGATGACTAAACTAGCATGACTGTTGCAACTACCCTTAAAAACATCCGAACAAAATATTACAAAATTGTATTTAAAAGAATGCAATTAAAATTATTAAACATTTTTCAAAAACACAAATCCCATATTAGGTGTGCAGTCTACAGCTATTAATCAAATTATTTTTGTATTTTACTTCTGGAACGATTTGTTCCGCTCTGTTAAATACTGATGATAATGTACATTTTCTCTACAAAAGGCATGTGATTTTTTTCTGTCAAAAGACACTTGAGTTCTTCCCTAAATGAAAGATCTTGTGAAAAAGGTTGAGCAACTGTCGCACTGAGAGTGAAGTAGAACCATTGACTATTTGACAGCAAAGAGGAATAATTAACTTAAACACTGCTCACTTTGAATACATTGTTATAGAATCCTATCTTGACAAGATAACATTTGAAGGGGTGAAGCAATAACATTCAATCTCACAGCATCGAGTAAACAACATCTAGCTGACTCTGAACTTCTAACTTTAAAACTAGTTCTTCAGCTTCTTTGCACCCTTGTTTGAGCTGGTTTTATATTCACGCATTTGACATCTTTGAACATTGACAATTCGTGACAGTCCCTATATTGTAAACCACTATACTCTGAATATTCGGTCTGAATCTACAGAAGTATGACTTCAAAACAACATCAGCACTATTTAATTGACTGTAAACAATGACTTCACTATTTATAATTTGCAAGGCACACACTTCTGAAATTATATTAAGGAGCTGAATTTGCGAATATAAAACCAACTTTACCTCAAATTGTTTTATTCCAGAGGAGGCTTAAACATGAGCTGAAAGTACATACATGGGCATGTAAATAGGTCAAAGTTGTATCAGCTTCTATGGTGAGTTAACTTTTACTAAAATAGACACAGCACTGGAAAACACACAATTAATACTGGCTGACCTCTTAGAGGTTTGCATGCTTCTTGTTTTACAAGTCACAATAATATGAAACCTAAAACATTTATCATATGGGGCAAAGTGCAAAGCAAGACCTGACACATGTAGCAGTCATTACAATACCACTGTCATATGCCTAAAAACCCTTACAATTTCACATTTGGATCAGAAAACGACAGGCAAATCTGTTAGTAACTAAAATTTATATTAAAACGATAAAAAAAGACGTTTGAAACAGTAAGACAAGACAGGGAGAAGCTCGATATATCAGGTGAGGGGGAATCGACTGTAAACCACACGCTGGCTACTACCGAGACTGACAGGACTAATTCGCGTTTTAAAAACCTAAACATTAGTTTCCACAAGAGAAAACAAACTTACCAGCTCGAGGACTGTTGGTTTCGTGTGTTGTTGACATGCTCCCTCGAACAATTCAAGACGCTGAACTCCGTGCCTTGGTATGGGAGGAGTTTATGAGGCGACTCAAACTCTGCAACTCTGGGAAATTGAGTTTTATAGCCTACTCAGGGAAGCAAGGAGAAAGTGTGGATATTGCGGTTTGATTTCTGTCCCTAGCCAAAATTACAGAACATATATGCTGTGTTTATTCTGTGTGTGTGTGTTACTGTAAAGAAAACAAAATTAACTTTGTGTTTTCTGTTGAACAATTTACGATGGTAACATTCCGCGCCAAAATACCAAAACGTTACAAGGGTCACTGGCTTTAAATGTAGCCTACTTAACTTAAAAACGTGGAGCAACTTTTGTAAAAATGTTTTATATCTTAAATATTTACCTACAATTTATTTCAAAGGAAATATATAGCCTTATATTTTTATTTTTAAAATGTAAATAACTTTAAGAACATTAAAATTTTAACTTTGTATTAGTGTTGTTGTTGGTCAGATGAGAAATGAATGGTTGTGCCCTACTGAGCATGGTTTCTCTTAAGGTTTTTTCTTTCACTTTTGTTAATTGGTGAAGTTGTGTTCCTCACCACTGGCTTGCTTGGTTTAGGGATTTGTGAAACTGTGCATCGATGGATTTGCTCTTCAGTGTTTGGGACTTTCAGAAAATTAAACCACACTGAACAGAACTAGCTTAAACTTCAACTTTGAAACTGGACTGACACAGTTTCAATTTACTAGAACTTCTATGTAAGCTGCTTTGACACAATCTACCAGATAAATTGAATTGAATTGTTGTTTGTTATCACCACTATTTTAAGCCTGGCTATATGAAGAGCTATCATTTTTGCAAATGTAGACTATATGTTTTATTATATAAATAATATAGTATTTTAAACCATTCTATGGTAAAATATACTTGAATTAATCTGCTGCAGTAATTTTAAAGGTGCTGTGGTAACACAACAGCTATTGCAATAATGACCCAAAACTACATCTACCTACAACTGTATAAATTATGCTACAATACACAACTGTTTATTGTAGTAAAAACTAAATTATACTATAGTATTTATATTAATGTAGCATCAATTAACATAAATACTTGTAAAATAAAATGTTAAATTACTATAGTATGGTTTAAAAAAACTATCAATTTATCTCTAACACTATTTTAAGCCTGGCTATATTAAGTGTAGCTATCATTTTTGCGAATGCATACTATGTTTTATTTACATTTTACAATGTAATGGGTACCATGGTAATGTTTGCATACGGCTAATAACACATTTAACGGGAACATCATAAACATTGTTTATTTGTCATGGCAATGCACATTTACTTAAAAATAAAATAATAGTGCTACAGTCATTAAAGTGAAGTTGCACCCAAGCATTTATTACAAAGGCTGGATCCCCAAACACATAACACACCTCTGTAAAATGACATTATCAAACTTAAAATAAATGGAAAAGGTTATTTTAAAAAACAATCCAAAAACACTGTCGCTTTTAGAAGTGCTTTGCTTCTGACACAAACTGAGGGTGGATGATGTAGTGTCCCACTTTATAAGGTTTCACCACATGAAAACAGCTGTGCCCTTCACTGCAAACCAAAACATCTGGATTTAAAAAGGACAATCTCAGACGTTCGTTATGTATTAGCAGAGTCATGTTTACGCTAAAACACATAAAAAACACAAACAGCTTTGCTGAATGACATGATAAAAGACTCATAAGAGTGTGACTAACACGTCTCAAAGCCTATATAAGGCATTGTCTTACCTAATAGTTTTATTATTTACTTATTTAGTTTTATTTCTATCATTTTTATTGTCCTTAATTTATTCTTTTATGTATTTAATACATTTATTTATTTTTCAAAGACTCAGTAAGAAAATACCTGCAGTCAGTTGCGGATTTTGAGAGTGAGCTTTTATTGTGATGGGTATTCTGGTGTTTGAAGGGTTTTAAAGATGGCTTGATCTCCATCTGCTGGTTCCAAGCTGATTTGATACGATCTGTGTCTGAATATTTCCTGACAAAAAGAAATTAAGAGTATGACAACTTATTTGAGAAAGAAGCATGGCTTGCCTAACACTAAAATATAGTAAAAATTATATAGCAGCTTATTGGTCATTCTATTTTCCACATTGCATTTTATTTTAAAGACACCCACATGAAAAATACTATAGCAATTTATAAATAAATACTATAGTATTTTTAAACCATTCTATAGTAAAATATACTTGAATTAATCTGTTGTAGTAATTTTGTAGATGCTGTGGTAACACAACAGCTATTGCAATAAATAAATGACCCAATACCACATCTACATGCAACTATCTATCTATCTATCTATCTATCTATCTATCTATCTATCTATCTATCTATCTATCTATCTATCTATCTATCTATCTATCTATCTATCTATCTATCTATCTATCTATCTATCTATCTATCTATCTATCTATCTATCTATCTATCTATCTATCTAATCTTAAGACATAAAAACTTTACCCATGTGTGTTTGTGATCATTGCATTAAAGTTGCGTTGTGGTTTGAGAAGCTTGGCAGCAGGTGGCAGTGTACACACTGCAGACGAGACCTCAGGCGCTTTACAGTCTTTTAGTGAAGTTTGTATGGGTTGTCCATGTACTGTCTGTACATCTTGAGGTCAATAATAATAGATATCAATTAGAATATAGGTTATGCAAATATATTGACATAAATATTCAAATGTCTGCATGATTTAATAAGCAAAAGTAAAATCTTTTGTATCGATTGGCATCACAGATTGCATTGATACCTGGATACTGGACCGATATGTGTCTGACTGGAGGTAGAAAAGAAACAGAAGTGCTTTGACTGTATTTCCGTGACCCATATCCTGTCTGCGGGGCTCGTGGCATCAGGAAGTCCTGGGTGGCAAAAAGTATTCAGAAACAAACTCTAAGTGGCACTTAATTGCTTGTATCACTGTAACCGGCAGAGGTTAGATTGTTTTGCTAATACAGGTTAAGAGTCAAGCAATGATCCCTGTTCTGTGGTTTGGAAACAGTGTAACCAGAGCCTCAAAGCCCCCTACATGTAGGCCTAGGTTGTTTTGCAGTATAAGCCACTAACGCTCTCCAAACTGCTGAAATATTAATGACTTGTCAGGTCACTTAATTTCTAGTTAGTTGGAGAATGTTTACTGATGTTTTCACTGTATTTCCACACTCAATACTGTATTTTAATGCATTTGTTTTGCTCAAACCAAATGATTCATAGCTATCAAATAATGCTAATGGGCTATATGCAGTTTTTTAGCTAATGATAAACTCCGGTGAAAGGTCAAATTAATTTTCATATTCAAAGACATGATGTGGAAGAATTTTATTTAATCCAGTGCTTTTTGTTTGGTCTGATACCAATATTATATAATAGGCTATATCTAACAGACAGTGAAGATTGCTGTTTTTTTTAAAGTAATCAGATCTTAAATGCTGTGATTTTGTATGGGATTAACTGTTAGTAGCCCTGGGGCTGGCTGACTGAAATTAAAAGTCCATGTGCATATACCCTATTAAGAACAAAACAATACAAGCTATATTTTACTTCACTTCATGTCTTACAGTATGTTAACTTTCATAAATGGCAGCATTTTAAATTGTCTATGATTAGAGAGTAAGTTTGCTAATCATAGATTTATCTAACCTCTAAAATTAAAAGGTTTTAATGTTTATAAATTCTCATATTTAGTATTTAATGTTGTGGCAAGTTAAACTGATTAAAAGTGACAGTAATATCAAATAATAAAGTTATCAAGATTTATATATATATATATATATATATATATATATATATATATATATATATATATATATATATATATATATATACTGTATATATATATATATATATATATATATATATATATATATATTCTTTTTTTTATTCTTAAATTTAGGACTTTTATTCATCAAGAAATAAAATTACAATAACAAGTTTAGAGGAAATTTTTAATTAAATTGTAAAAATCACAAGTTTTATAAAAACAAATAGAAAGTCGTTGTTTTAAATGGTACGCCTGTAGCCAGAATAGTGAAATGGGTGGTTATTTTTTTCCAAAAAGTACACTTTTTAAAATTTATTATTATTTATTTATTTATGAGGTTTAAATACTCCATTTAGTGACATTTTAAGCTCTATTTTTTAGCTGGGTCAGCTTGTCGAATAGTCAGTTTTTGATGTACTGAAAATATTCCCTGAAGATTTATAACAAAGAAAAATGGAAAAAAAAAAAAACTTTTTTAAAATACGTTATTACAGCCTATATCATGAGAAGAAAATTTAGCCTGTTGTCATTTATTATACAAATAACAAACTGGCCAGCACATTTAGCTTTCATCAGTCAGAGTTTGGCCATTTGAATAAAAAGCAATTAAAACATAATAATAATGTAGAGCTTCACAATTATTTCCAGCCTCTCTTGAAAAATGTGACAAATGAATAACAACATGAATATCAACAACAGCCTAATTACTATTAAAATTAATTTTAATATGCACTGCAAAAAAAATGCTTTTCTCACTTAGATTTTTCTGTCTGGTTTTTAATCCAAATATCTACAAGTTTTTAAATCAAGAAGCTTTTTCAAGACAAGCAAAACATATTGTCTTGTTGTAGGAAATAATATGCCAAAATTAAGTGAGATTTTTACTTAAAACAAGCAAAAAAAATCTGCCAATTGGGTAGGCAAAATATTCTTGTTTTTCCTTTTGAGATACGATTATTTTGCTTCCCCCATTGGCAGATTATTTACCTTGTTCTAAGGAAAAACTCACTTAATTGAGTATATTGGCATATTATTTCTTAAAACAAGACAAATGTTTTGCTTGTCTAGAAAAATTGATATAATTAAATATGAATTACTATCATCATGGCAAAGATAAAATAAATCAATTATTAGAAATGAGTTATTAAAACTATTATGTTTAGAAATGTGTTGAAAAACGTTAAACAGAAACTGGGGGAAAAATAAACAGGGGGGCTAATAATTCTGACTTCCGCTGTAATTGTATTTCACAATATTATTTCTTAATAAGAAAAAAAAAAAAAAAATGGACACACATGAACATATTTATGTAAAATAACTTTCTTTTTTATGGGAAACAAATGTTTACCTTGGAATTGTAAGGTATCTGTAAATAAGTTATTTACTTATTCTGTGCCAACTTTTTTTTTACATATGTGACATGATTTTATATATAACTTAATCGTCAAACACACATACAATTATTAATAAGGCTCATCAAAGATCATATTGAAAGTATTTTGTCCTTTTCCTTTATTTGCTGGTTGCCCCGCTGTCTATAAAAAATAAGAATCGTCTTTAAGGCATTGTTAATTTGTGCTTGAAAAATATTGGGAGTCCCCTTGCGAATTATTGCATCCTTTTATGAACAGCAGGTGTTGAGGATGGCATATAAAATAATAGGAGATAGCAGACACCCCTTAAACAAATATTTGGAATAAATACCCCTTGGGTGACCTGACATCTAAGGATAATAAGATGTTCCACATATCGTTTTATATTAACTTCTGTGCTTGAAGCAAATCGGTAATGTAATAACTGTAGTTAATTGATGGATTGTTGTTATTTATTATTCAGTATTTATTTTTTTCTTTAGTTTTTGTTTGTGTACTTGATATTAAGTGTTGGTGTTTCTTATGTTGTGTCATTTTTGTCAGAATGAATTGCCCTAATAATAAATTATTAAAGCTTTAAACTAAACTAAATTTCCCTCTTGCTTTATGAAATGTGAAAACATTAAAACTCAACATCTCAAAAAACACAATACAATAATATTGTACACAATACAAACACAATTATACAATTCCATAATGGCAGAACTGACAACAATGCATGTTAGTGATTATAGTTCAGTAGTTCTTACCGGCCGTGGATGAGGATTGTTCCTGCGATATGCAGAGGACGGTCTGGGCCCAATGGGTTTCACCCGAGCCGGGTAACTGAAATCCTCAGAGTAGGTGCTGCTGAAGTTCAGCCGAGGACCCATTTTCCTTGTGTACAGTATAGAGTGTGTCTGCAACTACTTGACTTGTATCAACTCTACTCACTCCCTCCTGCTCTCCAGTACCTCTACTCTCATGCTGTCAGTCTCCTCTTCCTCCCTTACATATCTTAATCCCCCACTCCTTTCATCCTTCCATGGAGAATGCAGATTAATTCACTCAAACATACAAATTCTGTCATTGTTTATTCATCCTGCAGATTTGGAAGCTCATGGAGTTGAGTAAATGAGGGCAGTGTGTTCCTCTCGGCTCTCATATTTCACTCATTTATCACTCTGTCTGTTTTTGTCAGTATGTTTTGGCTGTCATTGACTTCCTAAAAAAATGTAATCGTTTAAAAGTTAAAATCACTTTTAAAATCTTTGTGCACGCAAAAGCAATCATAAGTGATGTCTCTCTGGCTCTCTTCTGTATTACACGGTCCAGTGAAGAGAGGGAAAGAGAGCTGGCAATTGGATAATCTACATAGACATCCGTCTGTCAGCAGGATTCATGCGCTCCTGGTTTTGGTGCCCCTCTGAGCCAGTGATCAATAATTCAAGCCTTAGATCCTGTGTGGCTTTTGTGGCCCTGTTTCAGTGGGGCCTGACTGAGAGTTGAACAGGTGAGATCTGTTGGCTGGCCTGGACGAATGCCAGAAAAAGAGTTGCAAAAAATATAGGGCAGATTTATAAATTTACTATTTAAAGCAACCCAGGCTCATTCTGAAAACGTACTGCTATATACATTTCTGGAGAGCGCCAAATATGTCCCAGGAGCTAAGTTTTTTTTTTTTTTTTTTTGCAGTTTTTGTTTTCGCGAATCCACCAGAGGCCGCTGTGTATGGTTTTTTAGATCTTGGATTTCTCTACCATTTACGCCTGCTGTTTTTGAGTAAATCCACCAGAGGCTGCTGTCGACTCAATGACTGCATATCTGACCAATCGACTGACCCACCTTCCTCCTCCCCTAAACCCAACCAATAGTGTTTTCAAAAGCATCAACTGACCCACCCACCTACTTCCCTAAACCCAACCAACAGTTTTAAAAATCAATCCAGAAAGTAAAGCCCTCGACTGATTTTTACCATGTTTTCAGATTTTGCCACATTCTCACCCTGTTATTTACTTGTTTATTTTATGTTTTGGCTTCTGTTTTTGTCGTACCTGCTTTCTGGAACCGTTCTTTGTCAGACTCGAACTCCGTCGTTGTGGTCAACTCCTCTCTGCATTTCAAGTGTGCCAATGTACATGGCAAGCTACTGGTAAAACTGGTAACAGTGGGAAAGCCGTCCATATGGAGGTATCGTATAAAGGAACGACATCACACCGCCCGTAGCATTATATAGAGCTATGTTTTCAGAATGAGCCTATGTTGATTTAAAGGTGCCATATTAGTATGATACAATGTTGAATTGTTCTCTGAGATCTATATAGGTATGTGACTTAAGTAAGAGCAAAAATCCTCTAGAAATGGTGTTATATGCTCATTTATAACCACAGGAATTACCCGTGAATGAAAAGCTCAGTTTTGATCATATTTTAAACAGTCATGTTTAAAGAGCTCTGTTCTAATACATGCACAGCCCCCCTGACACAATGTCGGTTGGGTTTAGGGAAGTGGGTGATTGGGTCAATTGGTGCTTTTGAAAACACTATCTGTTGGGTTTAGGGAAGGGGTGGGGCTGAGATTGGTTCGTCAGTCGACAGTGTTCTCTAGTGGAGTTACACAACAACAGCAGGCGTGAAAGGCACTCTCTGAGATCTAAAAAAAGCATACACAGCGGCCTCTGGTGGATTTGCAAAAACAAAAGCAGGAAAAAAACATACCTCCTGGGACGTATTTCGTGATCTCCAGAAATGTATATAGGGGTATGTATCAATAATGAGCCTGGGTTGCATGACATTCTTTGAGTGTACACAGGCTAACCAATGCTGTATTTATTTGATCCTTTTTTTTTAAATATTACACTTAAGTTTAAGGACCAATTCTCACTAGTGACTTGCTTGTTACCCGTGATAAATTAAGATATTGGTTGTTTGTTAATACGTATAAAGTGCATATTCTGCATGATGTTATTCTACATCTCTAATTGTAACTCAACAGGTAATGGTTTATTAATATTAGTGTCGACTGTACCGTAAAATTAAGTGTGACTAAATATTACTTAAAGTATTACGTTTTATAATGCTTTAAAGAAGTACATGTATGTTGACTATTTACCCTTTTTCGGTGAATGAATCATACTTAAACCTGTACAATGTTCAGCCGTTAGACTCCACCGTATTACTAGCCTATACGATACGTTAGGAGAATTTGTTAATGTTTTGTAGTAGCCACAGCGTTATATATGAAAGTAATGGATGACTAATCCAAAGGACTTCTTCATTCATAAGTGATCATCATCATTTAACCAAGCATTTGGCACTCGTCCACAGCTCCTGTCAGCACCACAAAATATCCTCCTTGGCAGTGCCAACACAAGTAAATCAAATACGCCATCAGCCACCTATTATGCAGAGGAGAGCTTTCAGGATTGTCAGATAGGTCCACAGGGAGAAACAGAATACATAAATGATTAATAACATGATAGAAGCCTGAAAGGTGGTTTCTGTCCAGTTCCACTTTTTAAATAATCCAAAGAAAAATCCTATGCTTAAGGCTTTTCACACTTTAAATTACTGACAGGGTCATTCTGAACCCAGGGCAAAGAGTATCAGGTTATCTTGTCTAACATTTTACACTTACCTCGAGTTTAACAATTATGCCTGGATTTTTACATCCTTGTGTTTCTCTTAAACTCTTCAGTTATCGCATTATTTGCATATTCGCTGTCTCAATGTCACTGATTAAACATATGCAACATTCTACCTGTAACCAGGGGAGTGACACTGCAACAGAGGTGCAGATCCACATGCAGGTTTATTAGCGAGGTCAGGCCAGCAATGGTCAACACAGGGGCAAACAGACACAGGCAATCCAGAATCATAATCAATAAGCAGGCAGATGGTCAGAGGCAGGTGGTAAACAGAATTAAACAATTAAACAAGGCAAGGATCAAAAACACAGTAAAGCAAGACAAAGGATACGTGTTGTAATGTTACTAGAACAGATAACAAGACACAGCAACAGTAAGTGTTTCTGTGCTGTTTAAATAGTCCACGTAATCAGTCAGAGCAGCTTCAGCTGTGTAAGTGTTTGCAATCGCTGGTGACTTGGAGCAGGTTTATGTGTGTGTGTGTTGCATGACTGAATATGTAGTCCATAACATGGTGGATTTGTAGTTCATGTGAATGCGAGTGATTTTACCAGCGATCTCTGGATGTTCGCTGGTGATTGTGACACTACCTATATTGTTTATGCGTTTTGTAAACAACACTGTATTTAACTGTAATATGAATTGTATTTTACTGGACAGTTAAGTTGCATTGTGAAAATGACTGTATATTATACAGTAAAGATATACATACAATTCTGTAAATGCATATATAAAGCAAGTCATTCACCACTTGACATTTAAATTTTTCTTAAACTCAGGCCCAGCTAACAATTTTATGTTATAAAAACATTGCCGTAACGTTTCCATTAAGTTACAAAAACGTCTTGTTTGAACGCTATTAGAATGTTCAAACGTTTTTTAGACCTTGTATCAACGTTACTGTTTGGTTATAAGAACATTATTAAAACATTTTCATTTATTCATTCATTTTCTTTTCGGCTTAGTCCCTTTATTAATCAGGGGTCGCCACAGCGGAATGAACTGCCAACTTATCTAGCATATGTTTTATGCAGCCGATGCCCTTCCAGCTGCAACCCATCACTGGGACCCATACACTCTCATTCACACACATACACTACGGACATTTTAGCTTACCCAATTCACCTATGGCGCAAATCTTTGGACTTGTGGGGGAAACCGGAACACCATGAGAAAACCACGCCAGCACAGGGAGAACATACAAACTCTACACAGAAACGGCAACTGACCCAGCTGAGGCTCAAACCAGCAACCTTCTTGCTTTGAGGCAACAGCGCTACCCACTGCACCACCACACCGCCCCTAAAACATTTTTAGAACATTTATTAATTACTAATAACATGTAATAATAAAATGTTCTACAAACATTATGCAAGAACATTTTTGATAACTTTGAGAAAACCTTTAGAGCCAAAGTTACAAGAACATTCCCTGTTAGCTGGGGATGCGCTGTTTATTTGACCATTTACAGCATGTGTGAGACACATGATTATCTGTCTGTGGCAAAGCATTGCAGTAACATTTTAAAGGCCTGTTTACACCAAGGATGATTGGTGTAAATAAAAATGAGTTACATTTTTGTATTTTAATGCCACAGACATGGTCAGAGCTGGAAATTTCACCACTGAAATATCCCACCTCTGACCTCAATGCACAGTTTAATCGGCATCCAGACCAACTTTCTAAGTAGGAAGTAGACAAATCCTAATTCCTGGCTGTCCATCATTAAAGTATAGTGTGTTTTTCACTCACGTCAAGATTTTGTGGAGCTCCATTATGGAGCTACACAGATGTAAAGAACATTATCTATGCAAATACATTGTTCAGTTGTCTAAAACTCAGAAAATGTATGTAACCTGCTAAATCACATAGAGAAGGAGTTAGTAAACTGGAAAGCTGAAATATTTTAACAAACTGAATTCAATAAGCATATTCTGCTTGATTTGTTATACCTTTTGGCCGTCATTAGTACCCTACATGTACTTATTTTTCAGTACAACTGATTAATACAGCCCAAAACATGACAACAATTGATCATTTTCAGCAACAGTAATCAGCAAGATATGAATTCAGTTATTATTGCTTTCCAATATGGCCAACGATGACGTAAAAATACTGTATTGCCTTCAAAAACTCACTAAGAAAGTTTGTATTTTGAAATGTCACTGTAGCATGAACAGTCAAAATGCATGAAAAAGTTTTCCATTTTTAGCTGAAAGCTACTGTATATTGTGCAATCGCCTCTGAAACCAAAACAGAACCTAATCCTGACAGCACGAGCTTTAACAATGCATCATTTCCCATTTCACACATATTTGGCACTGCAAGTGTGAAACATTTCACTTGATTTACAAGCGCCATTTCATTTGACTAACAGTCTGAAAAGCGCTTTTATATATTTAAGCTCCTGCTTTTTAACAAAACACAGCTTGATGAATCTTTGAAACTTTATCTACTAGTTTCATAAGTCCTGTTTGGTTACATAGGTGCTCAGTAACCATAACTCCACTACATATAGGTGACCCAGTGTCACGGGCCGCAAATCCAATCACTCTTACTTGGCATCAGGTTCCTTCATAAGTGACTCATGACTTATCCATGAGTTTCCTTCAACCCCTGACATATCAGATTTGCATGGGTAATCATCTAATTTAGCCTCTTTCCGTCCAATGACCAAAATGTAAACATTAAGTTCCAAAAGGATATTTGATTCCAGAATGATCAAAGAAGCCGATTCTAAAAGAGAGAGACTATCTTTAATTTAAAAAAAGAAATCAAACAGAAGATTCTGCAAGGGAATTACAAAACACAAGGTAGCCTCTTTAAATTCAACACATGAATTCAGTCCTCACAGGCATCACATTGGCCATGCTGTAGACTTCTCTGTGCACTGGTTCTTTGATGTGTCTGCTTCATTCCGGT